CACCCGCCCTGCCAAGGGTGGGCTCATTCTGGACCATGGTGGTCTATCCTGTCACGTCGACTGTGTGCTGTGTCCTCCCACCAGTGTTTCTTGCAAATATCCCTGCCTTAGGCCCTGGCAATGTGACCCAGCCCAGGGCCCTGTGAGGCTCCCTCCCCACTTGGCCAGTTCTGAAGTTGGCAGATTGCAGTGGACAGTCGTGTGTGAATGGCTGGGAGGTGGATGGCCTGGCAGGACTGGTGGTCCCTACCCAGGCCCTCCTTCCCTGTTGGTCCTGAGGCCTGCCCTGTCCCCTGGCCCTCGTCCTCTCCCAGGCTAGAGGCTGAATCTGGCTCCCCAAGATAGTCTAGCACCCAGCAAGCAGGGCTTTGCCAAGGGGCTTTTTGCTTGTTTGTTTTGGGAGAGGAAAGAAAAGCATCTTCCGACTGTTTTCTTCTTGGTTTTTTTGGTTATCTACTCAAAGTACTGCTGCTGGTGGGGGCTGGCATCTGCTGCCTCTGGTATCTTTGGCTGGGTTTGGTTTTAGCTGCTGGCGGAAGGTGGGTCCTTGTGTGCGTGTCCTGAGGCACCAGTTTTTATTTCGGTCACATTATCATTTCGCCCAGCACTGAGTCAGCCTTCTGTTGAGCCACCTTTGGTCAGAAGGCACTGTCTGCCGGGATTGAGGTATTGGATAGGCCATGTCCAGAGGGCCTCCCTCACACCCACACCAGCCCTGGAAGGCCCCCTTCTCTTTGAGACATGTGATCTGGGGACAGCTCCCTAGGTTTTGTCTTCGCCCAGAGGAGGCCCAGGACATCCCCACCCTGCTCGGAATGGCCAAGTCCTGCTGAGCTAGACGCTCACCCTCCCTCTTGCTGGAGTTACTTGCAGGATACTCTCCCATGCTGGGGGCGGGTGCTGATGGAGTCCTGGCTCAGGGACAACTGCAGCCTCTGCCTTGCTCATACTTCTTGACCACAGGCATGCAGAGGGTGGGCCAAGGAACAAATGCCTCCCAGACCTGAGGGGAGGTTGGTGCCCTGGGGGAGGGGCTGGGCTGGAGGGAGGTTGCCACTTCCTCTCTTCTGTTTTGGGACCTGGTCACAGATGTGGACGTCTTCCTCCTGTGCCAACAGAGGTGTGGATGGAGATACTGGCACTGGGCCCTCCCATAGATCCCGAAGTTTACAGGTTGTGGCGCGTCAGCCCAAAGTCATTGGCGTTGTTGTGTTGTGGGATTTTTTTTTTTAAATTTCAAAATTTTTTTTTTTCTTAAATAAAGTATTTTTTTAGGTACGATTACCCAGAAAGGGCCTGTTGGGGATGTGTGTGTGTGTGTGTGTGTGTGTGTGTGTGTGTGTGTGTGTGTCCTGAGCTCCTTGGGGAGAGATGGAACCCCACTTTCCCTAGCCTGGAGATGGGAGAGGTAAAGGGAGGAGGGGAGGAGCTGACCTACCACCCAACCCATCTGTCCCAGCTGGTGAGGACCTGAACCCCAGGTGGGAAGGGGGAGCACCCTGCTGGTTGATGTGCTGGGCTTTGTGGGCGGGTCCTTGGTGGGGGCTGAGCTCTGGGATCTGAGCTGAGTGTCCTCTGGAGCTGTGGCTTATCCTGTCCTCGCCTTCCGTGGCCAGGACCTGTGGGAGGGGTGACAGACCAGCCAACACAATCACATTTACTTTGTACTCTGTGTATATGTTTTGATTTCTGTGTTTTAATAAATCCTTTGGGAAAGGATTGAATCAGTGTGTTTTCCTGAGTCTAATCTGGGGAGGGAGCTGAGGGCGGGAGGGGTGTTGGGTGCTGGGGAAGGGGTTTTAGGTGTTGAGTGTCAACTAATGCCTTCTTCCACTTGAAACCTCAGTCCCACATAGCTAAGAGGTTTACTGGGAAGGAGGGGAACCCCACCAAGGAGTGAGCTTGCTCTTCCTACAGATACTGCATCAGAGAAACAGCCTCAGACCCCTTGACTTCATTGTCATCTGAGACCAGCTGCCTAGAAAGGGACTGGGGGTGGGGCGGGGCACAGCAGCCTCAGCAACCAACTCTGGCCTTAGGGGGTCCCTGAGAGTGTGTGCGCACTGAGGGGGGTCGGGAGAAGACTTATTTTTAAAATTTTATTAATTTTTTGTGTGTGTACCATCAAATTGTATCTGACTGGTACAGGAGGAGATTGTCCCTCCTCCAGCAGAGCATCTGGTGGATTCGAACCATTTACCTCTGGGATTGCAGTGCAGCTTCTTGCCACTAGGCCACCAGAGCTCCCTAAGACACATATTTTGACGGACCCCTGCGCTGAGCAGCCTGGGAGGTTGTGAGGTCTTTGTATCACTCACAGGTCCTTGGTGCCCCCTCCCCCCTTCCTGTGGTTGCTGTCTTCTCCCCCACTCCCCAGAGCCCCTTCCCACACTGAGAGCCAGAGCCAGCTTCGGAGACCACCGGGCTTGGGTTTATTTCGTCATTCATAAATACAGTGGCTGTGTCTCGGTCTGTGGCGTGTCTGGAAGCAGGCGAGAGCAGTCTGCCTAATGGGATGCGGTTAGCATGGGAACCAGTCATTTAAAAAAAAGGCCAGAGAAGCACGGTATTTACATGACTTGAAGAGAACGGACACTGGAAGCAAGCTCCTCTGTCCTTCCCGGGTCCTCGGACTTGACAAACAGCATTTCGGATGGGAGACAGAGGGGAGTCATGAGCTTCCCAGCCTGGACCCCATTCCTATGTCAGCATTCTTGGTGTGGGGGAGGCTAGCAGAGGGCCAAGGCTGCTTGGCAGCACAGAGCTCTTGGGAGACCCCATCTTAGTTCTCTGGAGACTTGAGAGCCCCAGGTAAGGAGCAGGCTACCCTTCCAGGGCTGCTTGGGGCAGGGGGTCCTTGCCCAGGTTCTGTGCCCCTGGTCGGAGTTCCCTGTGGCTCCCACCACTACCATCTCCCACCCACCAGTCAGGGGAAGGATCTCCAGGAAGCAGAGCCCCTGCTCCTGGTAGTTGGCATGGGGGCACATGGAACCCCTCAGAACAGTGGTCTGGCACGCCTGCATCTCAGGCTTCGCTGAGTTGGGGGTGGGGCCCACCTGCATAGCACTTGGGAAACAGCGGCCCCTCTACCCCAGAGCCGCTGCACCCAGCCCATCTCACAGTGGGCAGGGTGGGAGCAGGAACGCCTAAGGGGCTCTGTGCTCTCTGCCAGCTCAGGGGTTGGAGTCAGGGCCGTCCTGGGCCCAGCCGTACAGGCCTGAGGACAGCAGACTGTAGGTTCTGTCGTGGGAGTGTGATACCCCAGCCTGGTGTGGTGGGAGGGCTGGCCACAGACCAAGCTGCCCTCCGGAGGCTTTTCTGGTGCCAAGACGGGAGTTGGTGGAGGGGCCAGGGATGAGCAGGGTCTGACTCCTGGGCTTGGTCCCAGGTGGGCGGTGGGGAAAGAGTTGTTCATCCCACCTCTCGCTTCGTAGCTTTCCTAAAGCCAAGCTCACAGGGGCCAGCCGTGCTGGGCTGGCCCCTCAGGAGAGTGACCTGCACAGGAACCGCTGGGCCTGCCCTGGAGCATGAGGCAGGGGCTCTTGGGGTTCCTGTCACATCTGGCACTGGTTGGCCTGGGGTGGAAAGGGGGTGAGCAGTGGGGCCTGGTGCCCTGCCCCTAGCCTGGACCGCCATTCTATTCCACCGGCCTGGGCTTCTGGCCGCCAGCCTCTTCTCAGCACAGTCCTCACCGTCCCTCCCATCCTCCCTCCATCTCTCCCCCCTTTCCAGGGTGGGAGAAGGGAAGAGGATGGCCTCCTAGATATCCCTCTCTTGGGTGGGGGTGGGAGGTTTGGGGCAGCACTTTCTGTTCATTTGCTCCGACTAGGCGGGCAGTCCGATCAGTTCTGACTTATGGTGGCCTGTGTGTGCCAGAGTAGAGTGTGTTCCATGAGGTCTTCAAGGCTGTGACATTCTGCAAGCAGATTGCCAGCCTCTCTTCCCGGGGTACATCTAGCGGGAGTTTTGAACCATCAAACTTTTAGTTAGTAGTTGAGCACTTTAACTATTTGTGCCATCCAGGGTTCCTTGTCCATCTTTTCTAAGCTCCCACCTAGAAACTCGTGAGAACTTCAAGACATGCCCCTCACCCTGATGATTTGAGAGGGGTCTTATGTGGCCCCGCTCCACGGACCGATTCCCAGGGGTCTTCTCTGACACTGGAGCGACCACCAGTGGTCAGGTCTCCCCCCTCTGGGCCTGCAATCTATGCAGAAAGCCCAGTTCCCCACTTCATTGGCAGCGCCCCACCTGTGTGCTCGGCAGCCACAGTCCTGTGAAGAAGCGCTCAGCCTCGGGCCTCCAGAGCGGGACCTCCAGAGTGGGCAACGGTGGCGCGGCGGGAGGGCAGGCGGGGTCAGGAGGGGCTGACAGGGAGCCTGCTCCGCCAGCCTCTCCCCAGCGCTCCGCTCCCTGGTCTGGGGTTCAACAATACCTTTACCAATCTTTCCAGGAGGAAGCTGGGTGCTTGAAATGGGGCTCTGAACCTAATGGGTGCCCCAAATTTCAGAGGTAAGCCTCCCTCAACTCCCTTACTCTGCCAGGGATGGCTCAGCTCTGCGTGGGGGTTAAGGGCTGGGCTATCACTGCTGGGGGGGTGTGAAGGGCAGAGCAGCTGCATGTGGGGAAGTGGCTAGGCAGAGGGGTGTGACATAAGGCTCAGTAGAATGTACTGGAGACTTTGTGGGGCCCAGGTAGGGAGGCCCTGCCCTCAAAGGCTCCTGGGAGTAAAAGGGGGCACAGAAAGAGCCAAATCCGCTTTCTTTTCACAGGACTGCTCCCTCTCCCCTAGCAGCAAGTGTTGTGGGGAGCTTCCCAGGAGTGGAAAGACCCCCCCTGGAAAGGTCCGCTGGGGCTTGCTTAGGGAAGGGGGTGCAGGGCCGAAGCTGGGAAGAATGGGGGTTTCTTCTTCCGGGAGGGCAGAGGTCTCTGAGTGTCCTTCCCTACTGGTCAGGTCCCCAGCTCCGAGTTGAGCAGCCACTTGGTCACTTGGTGAGTTGTGTCTTTTGGAAGCAAACCACACTCTTCACTGTGCTTCAGAACAGCGTAAGCAAGCGAGCGAACAGAGACTGGGCGGGAGAGGGAACTGTCCGAGCGGCCGAGGTGGGGCTTCTTAGGATCTGTAATCCTTTTTGCTGTAGGGTTTGTTGCCTAAAATACTATCAATCTCGTGGATGATGGAGGATGACAATTTGGGGAGGACCTGCAGGCAAAGATGAGACTGGATCAGAATCCCACTCACGAGACGGGCCAGGCCTGCAGAGCAGGTGGGTGGCATTCGCCTGAATGTTCCACTGGCCTGATCAAGCCTTACCTCAGCACATCTGGGCTTCATCTGCAGAACGACTGGGGCACAGAAGAGGCGGAACCTGGTTTATATTTTCTCCACAAATTCCAGGGTGCTCAGAATCTTTCAAATGGGTGGTACACCAAACCTACCACTGTTTAGCTGGTTCTGACTCACACAGCCCGACAGGACAGATTAGAGCTACCACAGGCTGGGAATCTTTACTGAAGCAGTGGCTTCATCTTCTTCCCTTAGAGCGGCTGCTGGGTCCCACTTCCTGCCTTTCTGGGCTCCTTAGAAGGATCGGGGTGGCGTTTGCTGTTGCTCTTACGCACCACGTGGTGTTTGCTGTTGCTCTTACGCACCACGTGGTGTTTGCTGTTGCTCTTACGCACCACCACGTAGTGTTTGCTGAGCTGACCTTCCACTGGCTTTTCAGATGCTTATCTTTCTCCCATGGAGCAGCTGGTGGATTTGAACCCTGTGCCTTGGGGTTGGCAGCACAGCTCCTTACTATAAGTCACCAGAGCTCCCTCTAGCAGGACGGCTGTTGCTGTTGTGTGCCATCAAGTCAGCACTGACTCATAGCTGACGCTCCAATTGGCTTTCAGAGGCAGTAAATCACATAGGAGAAGACTGCCCATCCTTCTCCCGCAGAACAGCTAATGGATTCGAACCATGTGCCTTTGGGTTGGCAGCACAGCTTCTTACCACTAGGCCACCAGAGCTCCCTAGAAGGATGGTTGGAGCATAAAATGAAGATTCTGGGGCATGACACCTGATTTCCACCTGCCCAAACTGCTCTTTTGAGTCTTCTCTGCCTTACCTGGCAGTGATGCCACCTTTAGGGACAAAATCCTGAGAGCCCTCTTAGATGCCAGTCTCTCTCATCCTCAGGTTCAGTTTGTCAGCAGACTCTACTCTTCCCACTTTCAAAAGGGCCTAGGACCCAACACCGCTCCCATCTCCCAACCACCTAACTTCCCCCTGGGCACCTGCCGCTGCCTCTCTGCTTCCTGAAGCCTTTTCCCTACTCAGAAGAAATAATGAATGAAACCAAGCCAATGCCCTCAGGCCCACCCTGCATGGGTCCAATGGGAGCTGGGCTCCACCGCACTTGCAAAAGCTGAGTTTTCGGAAGCAGATTGCCAGGACTTTCTTACAAGGTACCTGGAGTGAATGTAAACTTCCAGCCACTGTGTCAGCAGTTGAGCAAATGGTTTGCATTGCCCAGGGACTCCAGAGAGAGGAATCCTATAGAAACCCAGTCTGCTCATGGCCCTCCTTGGCTCCCCAATCACAAAAGACACCAAAGTCCCCACAAAGGCCCAGAGGGCCCCAGCGGTCTGTGTCCATACCCTCTGACCTCACCAGCTGTCCTGTCTCCTCTGTCCCAGCTCGCCTTGCTTTCTCTGCTGTGCTGGTCTGGCTCCCACCCGGGCCTCTGTTCCAGCCATGAAACTTTCTTCCCCACGAATTCCCACAGCCTGCTCCCTCCCTGGTCATTTTCTCAGCAAGCTTGCCCTAGTGACATCCTTTCAACTTGGGGCACCATTCCACCTCCCTCCCATCCCCAGGGGGGCATTCCTGGGTACCCTTTCCTGTCTCTGATTACTTGTCTTCCCCTCAGCATTCATCATTGTCTAATGCGGGTACTCTGCTTAGCTTTGGCATTGAGTGTTTATTCTCTGTTCTTGCTAGAAAGTGAGATGGTCAAGAGCAGAGACTGGCATAAAACAGCACACTTACTGATCTGACAGAGTCTGGTGGAATCCCAGAAAGATGGCCCTCAGTCACCCTTCAAGCCTGGAACCAGTGACTCACTCACCACCTTCAAGTTAGAAGTAACTCACAGCTGAACCCTCTGGCGGGTTTTCAGAGGCTGTAAACTGCATGGAAGGAGCTTGTCCATCCCTCTCCCCCGGAGCAGCGGGTGGAATCAAACCACTTGCCTTTGGGTGGGTGGCACAACTCCTTACCCACTAGGCTACCAGGTGATAAACAGAGCTTGTTGGTGTAGTTCATAGGGCACTCCACTGCTAACTCTTCTGGCAATTCAAATCCATTAGCAGCTAATTGGGATGAAGATGGGGCAATTTTCTCCCATGCAAATTACAGGTTTGGAAAGCTGTGAGTGGATTCCAACTCCACAGCAATGAGGTGAAGAGGGATAAGGGGAAGGCCTTCACTCCCTTAGAATAACCAACCATGTAAGATCAAAAGGGCAGTGTTTGCTCAAGGAGAAAGCTGAGAGGAAAGGGAGAGGAAAGAAGAACCAGTGGAAATGGGAATCACAGGGAGGAAGTGGGGAGAGAGCTGTTCCAATGTGGAGGTTGTAATGAGTGTCGCAGAACAACTGCTAAATGGAAAAGCAATTTGTAAACTTTCATGCAAATCATAACAAAAGGTTTAAAAACAAACAGATGATCAAAGGCACAGGGATCAGTTCACACCGTGGTATCCCCTGTGCCCAGACCAGTGCAGTCGGTACTCTGGGAGTATGGGGGACCGGGAAGGGCGGGGCCCGGCCCTCCGCTCACCTGTATCGCTCCGATGTTCTCCATGAGCTGGTCTGCACTGGAAGCCCCTAGGAGGACAGAGCTGACTCCTTCGTTTCGGAGGCACCAGGCTGGGGGTGGCAAGGTTACGGATGCTAGCGTCACACCCACTGCTAGGGCCCTTTCCCTCTTGATCTGGGGGCCAAGGGTACCCAGAGCAGGGGCCTGGCAAGCCCAGTGCCCAATGCCCACCCTCAGAACAGGGTTGGGTGGGGCTTTGTCCAAGGGCCTTGGGTGTTGGGGGAAGCCCTGTAGTGAGGTGGCTCTAGTGAGCAGGACCCTGTCCTCTCCCACTGAATACAGGAGCCCTCCCACTCATGGCTGGCTGACAGAGGGGTGGCTCAGGCCCTCAGAGACCCTTAGCATCTCCCCAGGGACACGTCCTACACCCAGAGCCCTGTCACCCGTGGCTAGCTGATAAGAGAGATGGCTTGGATATTTGGGGATTCCCTATTATCTCCCCAAGGATACTGGCCCGGGCAATTACCAATGGTCAGCTAGGAGAACTCTGTTCAGGACCTCTTCCCTCCCTGACCTGACCCCAGCCTGTTACCTATGGCCAGCTGGGAGAGGGACACGACTCAGGGACCTCCACCCTCCCCGACCTGACCCAGCCTGTTACCTATGGCCAGCTGGGAGGGGGACACTACTTAGGGACCTCCACCCTCCC